ACTCTCTCTATCTGCTAAAAATAATCTCCTTGAAGACCTCTCCTATGGAGAGCATCACTTCATCATAAAGACAGTTCAATAAATGAAATAAAAGTACAAAGTACAGTAGGCTGCTTAAAGCAGAATGGAACTGCACATCCTACTTCCACCTGTGTCTAGGAGACAGTCAGTCCAGCAGAATTTAGTTTAAAGTCTTTTTCAAATCTACTTTAAAAATTCCCCACTCATGTTCCAAATGACATGACAGTTTCACGGTCCCCAGGACTGCAGCAGAACTCCTGACCCCTGAACAGAAAATAACCATCAGAGTCACTTCCCTTTAATGGATTACACATCTCTTCTAATACTAACAGTAACAGAGAGACAGACAAGGCAGGAGTAACTTCTCCATTTCCTCACTTTCTCAATTCCCACTTTCAATGACTTTCTCAACTCAAACCAAACTAGCAAACTGAAAAAAAAAATCTGCTCTGCATCTACAGGACACATTTATTGTTATTAATGCTTACTCAGCACTTCACAAATTATAGTTTCTGGCATTTAGTTACAAATTCCTATCCGTTCAGTGATCTAGGAAATCTTGATTATAACTGTGGGCTAAGTATTGCTCTAAAATCATTATTTTTAGTGGCTAATATCAGGTTCAAGTTTGTACAGGGGTGTAAGGAGGACTTTTATCTGTTTGTATTCCACCCCTATTTTTTTTATTATTTATACAGCCTACTAATAAACAGCCAAAATAAAGAGAATAAAGATCTGTCAAGCTATAATTAAAAAACTCCTAAAAGACAGAAAACAGTACACAAGTGAAAGAGGCTAAGAAACAACATCCAAAAGGCATAAAAGCACCATAACACTGTATTTTCAAAGAAATTAGGGTTACCATCAGGATAACAGAATCTAAAAGGACAACAGATCATCCAACTGTTAATAAAAACCCAAAAATCAAAACCAACCAAACAAACAAACAAAAAAAAAAACAGAAAAAAAAGGCATTCAGAGAAGATAAGGCTTAGAAGTTCACAAACAAGAAGTTGGGAAAGATTCCCATGTCAGAAAAGCTTCACAGAGGACACTCAATTTTTTTTCTGAAGTTAAAGCCCTGACAAAAATGGTTAGAGGACAATTGTAAAAAACAAACACAAACAAAATCCAAACCCTCATGTCCTACCCCCAAAGAGCAGGACTTTGCCAAGTTCAGCTGATACCCACAGAAGAAAGTCAAGGATGAAACAACTGCAGTATTAAATGTGATGTGCATTGTCTTGATTTTTTATACATTATTACCAGAGGGCCTGAATTCTCCCAGCAGGACCCAGCTCTGTGGAAAGCCCCTGGAGGAAATCAGTTGATGCTGTGCTGGCATCAGCCTGGTGTCAGTGTGGGCAAGGCAGGGATCACCCAGCAAAGCTGATACACTGCGAGAGCTCAAACTTCTCAAATCACAGCTCAGCGTTTCTGTGGGTCTGTTTTTGGATAGAGATGGACTCTGAGTTGGGCATTACCATACAGGAATGAGAATCTGGCCTATGGAAATGCCAAATCACTGCTCTGCATCAGTGAAAAAGCTAAAACAACTGCAAGGAATTAATGGGAATGGAGCAGAGGGCTGAAATCATTATTGCCAGCATTTTAACTTCCAGCATGAGGGAACAGGAAGGAAAGGGAGAAGATGACATTCATGAAAGGCAACTGAACACAAAAACATTGCCTCCAGCTCAGGGAAGCACAAAGCTGTGAATTACTACAAACCAAGTGAGCCTTCTGGGAGGCAGAAGTCCTTCTCTTCCACCTTTGTGCCATTGATCAGCCACAGAGACACAACATTGGCAAAAAGAACCTCAGCCTGACCTGGAAGGTTTTGTCATTTCTTCTCCCTTGGTTTTTTTCCCAGAGCTGGAGCCTTAAAAATTGCATTGCAACTCCAAACGAAGGCAAGAGAGAGCAATGATACCTTAGGTGATCCAAGTCAACATCCACTGAAACCAGGAGAAGAAACCCACAGGAAATGGATTTAATCCAAAACCAGCAAGACCCAAATCTCAACCCCTTCTGAGGTCAGCACTGATGTACCATTGGCTTCAGTGCTGCAGGATGATGCCTACAGTGAGCTACTCATGAACCACTCACAAACTCATCAACCCTTTCACATAAATTGAGGTAATTGTAATTGACATCACCCAGAGCAGGAGAAAACCAAACCACAACACATCTGTTACCAGCTGAAGCTCTGATCAAACAGTCACCACTGCTGGTTCTAGGGAAGCACAGTAACATGAAAGCTTTCATTACACCTACAGGCTGCTGAGTGACAGGCTGGTCATTCCAGGACTTCAAAGCTTTCTTTTCTTTAATGTACTACAAAACAGTATCATGACTTGGACAGAGCAAAAGAAATCCAAACAGAAACGAAGGAAGAACACATTTACCCCAGCAAGTGTCCCAGGACGGCAAGTTATTTTCTGACCACACACCTACACAGATATCCACACATTGGGAATCTGTGGCAAAACTCTATTAATTCTGTTCTGACAAACAAATGTGACAACATGATTTGATGGGGAGAAAAAAAATCCCTAGAGGTCAAGCAATTGTTGTTGCTGCCTCATGCAGTGCAAACACTCACAAGCTCATCTCCCCAGTTCATGTGGGTGTCAGTCTGATACCTACACATAGAACAGGCACAAGGTTTCCAGCCCTGGGCAGTAATTACTGAAAATGTTTAGCTAATAGGAGCATTCTTGTTCATATCCAGAGGGGCAAAGGATCACCCTAAAATATTATACATTAAAAAAAATACAGTAGATATGCTTATTATTATTAAAAGAGTGAAAGAGAAATAATTCTGAAAGTTTATGGCAACCTGAAATCTAAGGAAGGAATCTGTCCCAGAAGATGTTTAACACACCAGGTCCATCTTGGGAGTCACTTAAGAGACAGTAACTTCAGATACAATCAGTATTATGGAATGCAGTCACTAACAGAAGAATGGATGGACACAGGTACTTCAGAAAGCCTCCTTTAATCTTAAAATATTTCTAATAAACCAAAAAGATAAAATAACCTAGTGCAAATGGGGAAAATTAATTGGGAAAAAATAGTTCAATGTGATCAACAGATAAGTTCCATTCTCCTATCCTGTTTGCTTCAGCAGAGCTCCATCCCAGTGCTCTCAGCAGCGAGTCCCTGTGGAGCCCTAAGGGCAGAAGCATGTCCATCTGCAAAGCAGAAATGAGTCTGTTCCAAAGGACACTGGAAATGAGTAAGTGAAAGTCCCTGTGCAGCTACAGAGCTCATGGCTGCAAGTATCAAAGAGAACAGCAAACCTTTTCCAGATGCTTTCAAACAAATCTTGCCATCCAGTTTCTTTGGTTGTAGCCAAAACCCAAATATGCTTCATGAAAGGATTAAAAGTAGCACTACCCATGAAAAATTAATGCAACACATTAAAAACATCAACCCAAAATGTGGATCTTGTACTGGATGAAACAGTTCTACAGATGTCAGAAATTCCCTTCACTCTCCTGTACTGAACAGTCACACAGCAACAGCACACTTGGAAAACCATTCTTCCTCTTTAGGTGTGAACTCACACAGAAGAAAGTCACTGCTCCTTAGAACTTTGGTTAAATGAACACTGAAGCTACACCTCACAAACATTTTACATACAGGAAGGTGAAAACCTCACTGGAGAGCAGGTGCCCATACCCTAAACCAGCCCTCTGCAGAGGCCCCCCAGGGCTTTCTGACTGCCCCAGTGCCCTCTCCTGCAGGACCCCTCCAGCCACGCTCAGGGACCAGAGATGCTGCCAGTTCTGCCTTACACAAAACACAGTCTGCTGATACTGGCAACACAAAAATCAAGGTTAAGAGTTCATTTTAAATGCCTTCTTCCTTCTCAACTGTTTCTATGGTGAAATTTTTAGCTCCTGTCCTCTGTTAAAACTCAGTGTTTTACTTAGCTGAAACACTGAGAAAAATGTTTCCATTCTTTTTGGTTTAGTTGTTTATGAAATTACTTTCTTTTTTTTTTCTTGCATACTGGGTTTGTTATTAAATATTATCTGAAGCACAATCACGTAAGTGATTCCCTTCTGAAAAACAGCTTATGTATCGAGTATAAAAAACACATTTTGACTGTTCCAAGCACAAGCAGTAAATGTTTAACATGCAAATTCACTCACATACAATAAGCAATAACCTTATTTTTGGCATGTAGTTACAAACACTACCCTATCAACTGTACAGTTACCTTCACAGTTTTTTCAATCAAGTCTGAAATTCCTAAATACAGCAATACAATTTTTTTTAACAGCCAAGTTCTTTTATTATTTTCCAAAACTCAATTTAAAATATTTCCAGTCTACTTTTTACCTCCCTCAGTGGTTTCAGCAAAGATTAAGGACAATCAATTCTTTCCAAGCTCTCTCCTGGAGCTTGTGTCTGTTACCTCATTTCCTGGCTCCTATGAAGCAATGTGAGACAAGACTTTGGTGAAAACTATCATCATAACATTCACTGAGTTCAGTTCCTCAAAAATAGTAATGAACCCCTTGGCATATGAGACTGAAATTCTTCCATCACTCTTTCTTTAAGTGGTAATGCAACTGAGAAGGGTTTTTAAAAATGTTCCTGGATAGTTTTCCAACTCCCCCAACCATCTCTTCTCTCTTTTACAATTCCCAGTGACCTATTTCAAAAAACACTCCAACTTTCAGACACTGTCAGGGTATTTCTACCCTTGTTCATCTCTGCCAGCTCTGTTAAGCCTCTCCCTTTCACACTCATTCAAACCACAGTACATAACATACAGCTCCGCACCTTAAATTTAAACAAAAAAGGTAAAAAAAATTGTTTTCCTTAGCTTCATCATTCAGGCAGACTTTTCAATCAATTAAAAATCAGATCTTCATTAAAGATCAGATGAGATTTTAGGTCAAGGACTGCACATCATTTGAAGCCACACAAAACAACTTTATTGATTTAATATAAAAACTTACCCACTTGGCAATTGGACACCCCTGAGAGCTTTTTCCTTCCTTTCCTGTATAAACCACTACCTCTATTCTTACAGCGCTTCCTTTTGCTCCATACCTGCATTAAAAAAAGTTCATGAGTAAAACAAACTACTGTAGACCATTTGAAAAGAGGAAACATTTTCAGTAAAAGACTAATAAATTTATTTTTACTGGAGTATTTTATAAACAAAGTATTTATAAAGAAAAAAAAACCTTTTAATTTAAAACCCTACTTGCAAGACTAGCTTTTGACATCTTTCTTCTGATAAACTTCTGCCACTTAGGAAATGGTATCTGCATACAGATCATAGTGCAATCTAAACTAATATGACCTTTTTCTTTCCAGTTTGCCACAGCTTCTTCACAGGTAGGACACCAGAAAACCTTATTCTGCCAGCTGCTGATCTCTGTCCTTCCTACTGACTTCAAGGGTACTTCAGAACACACTGCACTTGAACTCCAGCCCTGGGCTCAGAAAAGACACACGAGTTTGGACCTGAAGTGCTCATGCTCACCTCATGCACATCTGAACAAGAAAACACTTTACAAATGAGTACTGACAAAAGTCCAGCGAAACAAAGCTAAACACAGCACTTCATTTCTCAGAGCTCTACTTCTTCCCTGTTTAGACAGTCAAAAATACAATGAGCATTAAAAGCTGAGTTCTCCTCACCTGTTCTCCATAATTTCTCTCACAGCAGCAACACTTGGTCCTGTCCCGAGGTGCGTGTAATAGGGGCCTTCATCTTTCTCTATAATTTGTTCTGTAAGCAGGTAAAGAAAACTGTGTTGGCACATCCAAAATTTATTTACCCCATTAAAAATAAACTTAGAAACAGTTTACGGAAATGCCTTCCAAATTAAATTAGAACACAGAGTTTGACCCTGAAATATCATGAAGGGTATGACAGGCTTTTTTCTTCAGTCGCTTTGGAATTATTTTATGCTTATTTCCTCCAGTGATTTTGCTAGCATTTTTTTAATGTTATTAAGTAAAACCCTAAATATAGCAATATTTTGCATTCTTTAAAACTTTCATTAGAGGAGCTGGCATTTCCTAAGTAAAACTCCCAATATCCTTGTTGGTAGGAACATTATTAATTCATTTTAGACAAAGGGGAATTGAGGGCAATAAAATAAATTAACAGCTAGTCATATCCTACAGAAGAGAAAACATAACCCAGGCTTCTTAACAAGCACTCAGTTGATTCAGAACACAAAGCCAAGGTGAAACAATCTGCCTGCAGATGATTTGCTGTGAAGGTTCTGACCTGTCTTCCCATCTGGGTGCTTTGGCAGTGACAACACCGCGCATCTCACACCCTCAGCCAAGCTGTGCCTGCACAACCCTCCATGCAGAGCTTGCTCTGTCACCTCCTGCTGCAACACAGTCACTCTGCAAGTGCCCCCACCTTGACTCCACCTGAGCTCTCCTCCTGTGGCCAGAGGTGTCAGGAGCTTTGGCCATGGACTCTCCCAGGCCATCCCACAGCGGCCATCAGGACTAACAGTGACGGGAGCAAGGCCAGTTACCTCTCCTGCTTGTCTAGCAGATTTAGGCAACAAGAAAAATACACTGGGACACTGCTGCCCAGCCCACTCAAGCACAAACCAGTTCTAGACCATCAAAGTCATGACCTGATCCAGTACAGGGAAGTGCACATAAAGCACAAGCCAGCAATGGCAGAACAATGAACAGAAAAACTCCCTCTCCTCCAGGGTTAAATTTAAGTGGAGTATTTAAACCTGCCAGCTGCAGTACAAAAAAATAAAATACTCAATTCTGCTGTGCTCTGCAGGGCCAAAGAACACCGAGCAAACGTTACAAAGGAGGGGAAAGGCAATTTCCTCCTGTCTTCTAATGGTGAAACACAAATTCTTGTGCAACATCACATACACTTCCTCACATTAAAGGAAGCAACATGAGCACACCTCCATTTGACACGTACAGGCAACAGTTAGTGAAAACACTTACCAACACAGTCACAAGTTGGCAATTCAGATTGTCCTTTTTTGGTAGGTGTGTCTATTAAATTTTTTGTAGGGGTATCAAGAAACTTCATGGGTGATTCAAGGAAACTGCTGAGCGTGTTTTTTGCTGGGGAACACCCTGAGTCGCCTGTGCTCTGGGCGTGGTCAGTACCCAAACTGGTTGATGTCAGAACGGTCACCTCACCCACACACTCCATATTCCTGAGAGCTTCAGCAGCACCTGGCACCTGGGCCCCACCACAGGGAACAGGCAGCACCTGGGACTTCGGATCTACCTGCTGTTTGACCTGCTGAACATAGGCTTTGTTTTCACTACACATTTCGTTAGCTCTCAGGTTAGACTGGTTAAAAGTTGGTGGCAAAGGATGCGCCTGACTGACATTTGCTGTTTGCTGTACCTGAGAATTACATTTTTCTGTAAACATCTGTAGGTTTTCAGTTGGTCTTTTCAACAAGGATGCTGTTTTCAGCTGTGAAGCAGCCAGAGGATTACGGGAGGACAGGTCGCTGTGTTGGCTACGTGCAACAACTTCATTTTTCAATGCATCAGTGCCTAGTGGGTCACTGGAGCCCGCAGTTTTCATTTGCTCATTCACCACCTCACAGCCAAACAACCTGTCTTTTTTTTTCTCCTCAGGTAAACACCTGTGGAATTTTATCTGTGCTTGTGGGAGAAATAATCTTGTTTTTTCTTGTGATGCTAAAGTATTTTGACTGAGCGCTCTCTGTACTTTGGTTCTTGGAGATTTCTTTTCAGACGGAACCACCCTGGAATCCTGTGGCACAGTTTGACCAAGCTTGTGCAGTTTTGATGATATCCAAATGTCCTGCAATTCACTATGCTGGCATGACAACAGCTCTAGCTGGTTTTGATTATTTTGTTGATAGCGTGCTTCTTGAGGCTTCTTTTTGTGTCTTGGTTTCCATGGCACAGCATTTCCTTTCTTATTTGTTGCTTGTTTTTGCTTTAACAGTAAGGAACTATAATTATGCCTGAAAAATACGGTTTCTTTTTTCTGCAACACATCTTGGTTATATTTTGGCTGCCTCTCATGTGATATTAGATTAAGCAGTGATGCCTTTATATCGTTCTTCTGCTCTGGATTTGTCTGGTTTGATTCAATCAGTGCTGCCAGTTGAGTTAGTTGTGCAGCTACATCCTCTTCATCCTGGCTGTGAATTCCTCCTTCTTTAATCAAAGAACTACCTTCCAATTTCGAATCATTACACGCTGGCTTTTGCTCTAACTGGCCAGGAGCTTCCAAGTTGTTCCTTATTTGCTGGACATCACATGAAGCATTGCAATACCCTGTGAGGGTGACTGGCTTATGAGCACAACTTTTGTTGGAATCATATCCTGAAAATGCTGCATTAGATGTTAAGTCAGATAAAGTTTTGGTATCTCTTGAGGATAACTGTAATTTATACATCTCACCAGCCGGATTGGCAGGTTTATCACACAATTCAGACACTGAACTTTGGCCATTGTATAACACTGCCTTATTAGGGAGCTGCTTCTGCGAGTGAGCACAGTGAGCCAAGAGCTGTTGTTCATTCTCTAAATAAGTGTCTTTGATTTCTTGCAATGCAGAGGATGTAAAGGAGGATGAGATATCCCTTTTAAAACTATGGAGCAAGTTGGAAGTTGCTTCTCCTGTACATTCAGTACTTTCAGTTTTAGCTGGTGAAGTTGTTTCTAAAGGAGCTTCAGACAACTGTGTTAAAGCTTCAATAGCTACAACCTGCTCCAGAGTTAAATTTCTGGTTTTAATCAGGGACAAAAAAGTGGGCTGGAGTGCGGAATTCTCAGGCAGCGTCTCCACATTCGGTACTTTAATGCCATCCTTCCCTGCCTGCAGCTCCTCTTCAGGCAGCGGAGGACAACACAAGCTCTCCTGCACATCCAAGCTGGAACCTGTCTGCAAAACTGACTGATCAGAATACTCAGAGATGCTGCAGGTGCAGTTTTCCTCTTTCATCAAAACATTCCCTTGGTTTTCTGGATGAACACAGCCAGTGCCACTCGTCAGAGTGCTTACTACATTATTCAGATTGCTACCCTTCGGCCATTGCACGTGGGAGTTGCTTGTCAAATCTGTCCTTTCCTCTGCAGATACATTTTTCAGTGAAGCAACTGCTTCTGGTGGTGAATAATGCAGGGTTTTAATGCCATTTTTGATGGTGTGCACCAAGGATTTTTTTGGCTCAGTGAACTGACTGGGAGAGGCTGCTCTTTCACTGTGGCCAGCGTGTTTCAAGTGTTCCGTGCCCGTCACAGCTCCATGGATGTCGCCGTTGACGTGGACACCGAAGGATGACTTCTCGTTATGTGCCCATTTCTCTGCTTCTAAGCCAGTCATTCTCTCTTTCTCCTTAGACTGCACATTTTCAATGGGTACTGCTTGGCTTGTCTTCACCCTGTATTTTTCACCATGACCACATATACTGCATTCCATGAGTTCTGGTCTGCGGCCATTTACTGCTTTGTTTTCTAAATTTGCCTATAAAACAATAATAAAAAACCCTTGTTGTAACAGCTGTTCAAAGCACATTAAGAATAAGAAGCTGCATATTTACAGCAATTAATCCCTACTTTGACAGACATGAGGAATAGCCTAATTAGGCACAGACACTGGAAAATAAACAAAACAGGAAGTTATAAAATAACCTGAAGGCTAAAGACCCTATCCATATTTATAGCTATTTTTCCCCACTATTGAGGTACAGGGGAAGAAATTGGGAAAATGTGGTGGTGGGAGACTAGTGAAATGAACAGTCAGATAAAGGATGTTAGCATTTAGAATTAGATGTAAGGATTCAATTTTGAATTAATTTGCATGATCAGATTAAAAAAAGGTAAAAAACTTATGTTAAAAAGCAAGACTGAAATGCAAAGGATTATATCACAAAGTTCAGCAGTAATTTGGCATAATTACATTCATTTGGCTAGACCAATAAACTGGCTTAACCAATACACCACTTGGTTGGACACTAGCTAATCCTGAAAACCAGACAATCTTGCTTCAAGTCCTTAAATAATTACAAACCCTAAGCAGAAATGAATAGCAAGCCAATTTACATCAGCTCACTTGGAAGTTACTCTCTAAACAGATGTTTAGCTTCTGTATGTAGATGGAAATTTCCAGGTTTCTCAACAGTCTCTCATGTAAGCTATTCAAAACTGAATTTTAGTAAATGCTACATTTTAGTATTTTGTTAAATAAGTTCTTCATCTTCACTGACATTACACAGTTCATGTGGTTGAAGCAATGTCAAAATCTAGACAGAGTCAGAATATTGTGTCCTGGAAAGAAAATATATATATATATATATATATGGGCATTAAGATAGTATTATGGATATGAAGAAAGGAGTTATGCAAAGCAAAACTAAAACTAATTAAGGCAGAAACTTATGCAGAAACAGTAATTAAGGCAGGAATCCATTTTTTCTTATGCTATTCAAATTTTATATTAAACTTCCTTTGAAAAAATAATTTTGAATCACAGTAGACAGTGCTGTTCTTTTATCTGATTGCAACATTTAAGAGCTCTTCAATCCTCTGCAACGTGTTCTTAAAAGAAAACCAGGACTGCTTTTCAAATTAGGTATCAGCAACATGAGGGGCTAATTAACCCTGTGTAGGCACAGGACCTCACAGCAGTGCCCAGAAAATGCCACCCAGTAGAATTCAGAGATGGTTCTGTGCTCCTACCAACAAATGCCATGGACTTCTGACAGAACTCAGGAAAATAAATGCAAAATAGATTCATGATTAATTAGAACCATCAAGATGGAACTGCCATAAACCCCCAGGCAAAACAAGGCAGTTCCAGCTGGAGCTCAGTGGTTACCTTGCAACTGCTGAAACACAAACCCAGGAATCCACAGCACATCCTAAATGTTCTGAGAGGCATCCTAACTTCTCATGGAAATTTTATGTAAAAACATGTCCAGCACTGTGCAGCTAAGTCAAGCCTATAGATATTATATACAAAAAGATTCCTTATTTAATGTCTTTTCAGTACACACTGATCCTGACTATTGGTCAGTGAGCTCCTCTGGGTCCTGGTGATTTTCAGTGAATGATTCCCAGACCAGAGGGTCACTGAGGATCCACCAAAGCTGAACAGGTTCCACCATTCTGTTGGTAGAAGAAAATATTTTCAGGGTTCACCATAAAAGAGTAGAACCCCACAATTCTACACCTGCACAAAAGCTGAATTTCAATTACCTTAACTTCAGAAAGAAGTAGAATTGTTATTCTTAGGCAAAAGTACATCTCTACCAATCCAAAAGATTCCCAACCATGTAAATTTTTTATTAAAAATTATTTAATCTGACAATTAGGAGGCTAAAGACATAAAATCAAATAGATGAAAATTAATTCCCCATCAATTGCACATTTTCAACACAACATCACATTTTGCATTCCATTCATCGTTATAGGGACTGTTCACCACATTAAAATAATTAATAACTTAAGTCTGGTAATTTGGGAGCAGTAAGAGGCATAGGGAAGGAAGAGGCTTCATCCACAATTAGCAGAGATGAGAAGACCTGACACAGAATCAGCACCCAGTACAGAAGTGTCATCACCGTCCTCCCAACTAGTCTGTTCCTCAATAAAACACTTTATCTCATCAAAAAGCACTGCTATGATCAAAAATACTCAGGATATTCCCTCATCTGCTAGCACTGCACAGGTATTGCTGTGTCCCTACAGACCTCCAATGATTCCAGCAGCAAAGGTGGAATTGCTTTAAAAAAAAATATTCTTCATACTTCATATTTTCCACTGACATTACTAGAAGCTGCCCACGTGCAATGAGGAAGAAAAAAAACCTCAGATGAATCATATCACTGGCATGAGTTAGTTCATGTTCTATTTTTCCACATGAAGTCAAAATATTGTCATGAAATTAAATGTTATTGTTTTAATCTAACTCTGCCTTTCAAGCACTCTGCTGCTTTATCCCCCATTAGAATAAATAATATAAATATTATATATTAATATAAACTGCAGTGGATCCTAAAAGATACCTTTGCTTTTCCCTCTCAAACAGAAAGGGCCACTGGATATTCTGTTAGCACGTGAAGTTAATATTTCCCACCACAAAGAGAAAGGCAGACACACTACCAGGGACAGAGCTCATTTGATTCTTCCCCTCAACCTAGAAACAATCTATCTTTAAGTCCTCAATCTGCCTGTAAAAAACCCAGTGCCAACTACAGGCAAGGATATCACAACCCCAAGCAACAGCGTTAACATTCTCAGCTTCCAAGGCTTTTACACAAACGCAGTGCAAAGCTGAAGAATAAATAAAGCAGATCAATAGCAGAAATTTCCTCTCTCTCTCTCTCTCTCTCGTTAAGGAGAGCTCTCCTCTCCAGGAGACACGAGCCACTAACAAATCATGCTCAAGCCTTGGCTCTGCAGCAGTTTGTGCTGTTGGGACAGGAAGCACAGAGCCTGCTGTGGCCATTGCTGTATTACTGGAACTTCAAACACTATCTTGTATATACACACACACAAGAATTCACGGTGAGCTAATGCTTCCAGCACACACAAACAGCCAGTTACAGCAAATCATTTGACATTCTGAAGAGCGAGACTTACTATTAACTTCTCCTTTAGCATGTGATGCCCCTGAGGTAATGCAGAATTAATCAATTCCCAGGCAAAATGTAATGCTTATGCTGCCCCAAATATATTTCCACATCTGAGTAGCAAGCAGGCCGTGGATTTGTGTCCCTCATTCCAAACCTCTACAGGTGGTAGCAACACACACTACACTAAAGGACACCACCAGAATCTCATAAACAAGAAATAACAGATGATGCCCTGTCCAGCCACTGATAAAATGGCTCTACAAGCAAGTCTTGAATAACACAACAACTAATACCAAATCTCGTAAGCAGCTCTCCCTGTAAGATTCTGCCCAGGTCCTGTACAAATACAGTGCCCAACACATCAAACAATACTTGCACACCCTGTTTGTGCCAAAACTGGGATGACTCAAAACACATTGAGTCAGGGTCTCAACATTCATCAGCACAAAAGGATGAGTGGGTGAGAAGTGCCTGCAAGCAGCAGTGCCATGGGTAAGCCTGGATCCTGCTGCAGTGTCTGCAGCCACACAGCCAGCCCCACATGTCTCTCCAAGCTGGGACACAGCTGGCAGCTCCTCAGAGATCAAAAACAACAAGAGAAGTGTTGTGTTTCAGAAAAACTGTTTGGAAAAGACCCAAATGTACTTCAGCTAACATTCAAACAGGGTGTTTGGCTCATGGTCTGTCAGGTATCACTGTCTTACCAAAAGACAAGAAAGCACCGAGCAGCTGGTGAGCAGGAATTTACTCTTCCATCATTTATTCCTGCTGTCCACTGTCTGCTCCCCAGGACACACAGAAATTCAGCAGAATCCAGGACTTGAACTGGACAGGACCCAACATACAGGGATAAGGAGATAAGACATGGGTAGGACAGGCATCAGGGAGACAAAGCAGAGGTGTGGAGAAACAGTTGCTTATGCTGAGTGCAATGGAGGACACCATGCACTGGTTAGAACAGAGGCAGGTAGAAGGTGGGATGCTGTGGAAGCTATAGGTCACCTCCTGAATACAGCTAAGTTTTCTTCTTGGATTATTATTTTCATTAAATACAGATACAGTAATACAAGTAAGAATAAACTTGTATTTCAGACCACATGACATGCCTGACTACTGCAATAATGCAGACAGCAGCAACATGCTGTAGGTTGCTGCCCAAGGCTGCAGCCTGAGCAAGGTGTCCAAGCAGGCTCCCAAAAGACAGAACAGCAGAGTAGGGCCAAGCTGCAAGCTGGGGCACATTCCCCATCAATCTCAGCACAGGCATAAAGCAGGTACCAGCACACTGCATAACTGTGGACATGAAGGAGTTTCTCAGGGTACCACAGTCCTACAGTGGCTCAGCTAAGGCACATTTTCTACAGGTCTTAGTGCACAGGAACAGATCAGGGACCTTTGTTACTGTAACACAGCCTGAATGTACAAGGTGTTTTGTTCCTCAAGAGAGCAGTGTTCACAGATGGCATTGAGGGACAGGACCTGGCAAAATTATGTTGACAAGTTTTACCACAGAAGCTGATTTATACAGAAACTCAGAGAACAAGAAGTTCTGCAAATCTGGAGAAACACTTTCCTGGAAGTATCCCCCTCACTTCCAACTTCCCTGCCTATCAAATCACCCAGTTACCAACTTGAGCATCACAGCAGGCAGCACTTCACACTGGATCTTACTACAGCTGAAAAGTCTGCTCTGGTTGCTGGTTGCTTTTTTCCCCCCATACTTGTAACCACAACAGCAAAGAATATTCTCCAAGCTACAGCTTAGCTCTCAGTTTCATCTCCATTTAATCTACATTTATATCCTCTCTGCCATTTCTTCCAACACAAGTCAGCCTTCCCACCAAAAAGCTCCTTACTGTCTCTTTCCAGGAGGAATTAGTACATTATG